ATTTCTTTGCAACCGTTCCCCTTCTTCATTTCTTATAACACAATAGTATTTCATTACATTTATATAACAATTTGTTCAGCCATTTTCCCCACTGGTGGGCACCCCCTTTGTTTCCAGTTCTTTGCCATCACATAAGCAGTAGCTATAAATATTTTTGTACATATAGGATACACTTTCTTTGATCTCTTTAGGGTTAAAGTACTGGTAGTAGTACCACTGGGTCAAAGGGGATGCACATTTTAATAACTTTCATAGTTATTAAATAGTTCAAAATACTTTCCAGAATGGCTATGCCAAGTCACTGTTCCACCAACAGTATATTAACTTGCCTGTTTTCCCACAGCACCTCCAACATTTCTTATTCTCCTTTTTTGTCATCTTTGCCCAACTGACAAGGACGGATGGCAACATTAAAAAGAAAAATAACTCTGAAAGACAAAATCACTAACAGTTTTGCTGGAATTTTTTCCTCCTCTTTTGCTGTATTTGTTTGTTATATGAGATAGCTCTCTAGAAGGAAGAAGATACTAGAAGAAATTTAGATGACATAAAAACAAAAGATATCAATATTTTTAAAGGCATTTGATCAATGCAAAGATCAACCATGTTCCAGAGGATCTACAATGATGAACTCAAAGATGATGAACTGTAAAAAAAGATATAGACAACAGTCATGGCTTTTGTGTAGATTCACTGTGCTTATTTGTTATGAAAGTTCTTTTTCTTCCTTTCTCTCCACTTACAATACTTCCTCCACTCTCTCACCCCACGCCTGTCAATTTTACTTTTGTAACAGCTCTTGAATATGCCCCCTTTTCTCCAACAATACATCAATCTGGTACATAGTCCAATTGCTGGTTTGTCAGCCTGCCCCAAGTCTCCTCCCATTTCAGTTCATCCTCTACTCATCTGCCAAAAGTGATCTTCCTAAAACCTAGGTTTAACCATGTCACAGGGCATGCTACCTCCTCACCCTAACCCTAGTCAACAGATTCCAATGGCTCCCTATCTCCTCCATCCTCATATATAAAATCCTTTCTCTGGCATTCAAAGTCCTTTATAATCTGGCTCCTTTCTACCAGTCTTCTTAATTACTCAAACAAGACACTTCATCTCCTGCCACCAGGAATTTTCACCGACTGTCCCCATTGCCTGGAATGCTCTGTCTCCTCATCTCTACCTCTTGGCTTCCCTATCTTCTTTCAAGTCCCAGCTAAAATTCCACCTTCTACAGAAGTTAATTCTGATCTCCCTTAATTCTAGTGCCTTCCCTCTGTTGATTATTTCTAGTTTATCCTATATATAGTTTGTATATCATTGTTTATATGTTGTTTCTTCCACTAGACTGTGAGCTCCTTGAGAGTAAGGACTTATCTTTTAACTTTCTTTTTATCTCCAGAGCTTAAGACTGTGCCTGACACATAGTAGGTGCTGAATAAATGCTTATTAACTGAGTGACTAACTCTTTTTACTCTCTGTGCAACCCTGAAAAAATCCCTTTGCCCCTCAGGGTCTTTATTTCCAGATCTATAATATGAAGGGAGTGAAACAGATTATCTTCTAAGGTTTTCAGTTCAAAATCATGGTTCTAACATGTAAATAAATCTATCACCTACTACATGTTTTTCTCTATGTTGGAGTCAAACAACCAGGGTTCAACTCTTAACTATGACAGACACTGGCCATGTCACCATGAGCAAGTTACTACTGGGCCTCTGAGCAATTCCTTAAGACTCTGAAGTGTGGAAAAGTTAGTGACCTGAATCAGTGGAGAAAATTTCCATACCACTAGTTTTTTCCTAGATGGAATCACAGGTACAGTCCAAAAACAAAACCCTCCCCCCAAAAGCCAGGTACACACAATACTGTTAAATATATATGAAAACAAGAATATTTGATTTGATTAACAAGAGCAATTTCAGAAATGCAGCAGAACAATCTAATATATAGTTCTCAAAGTCAAGCATTTTAATACTTCAGGTACTAAGGATTTCTGTAACATTCCAAAATATAATATGAATAAGTTAGCTGTCATATTCAATAAGACTATGGCTAAAATCCAGGTCTTCCTGAAATATCCTGAAACACATTCTCCCAAAAGCAACGTGTAAGAGAAACTAGCCATCCTTTAGCCAACTGCCTCCAATATTTCAGCCAGGTTCAACACATCTGTATTCTCTATTAGACCAAATATTCCATGACATTAGCCATTAATATAGTTGGTATTCCCAGACTTGGAAGAACATACAATTAAGGCTGCTAAAGCACTAACTAGTCTTCCCATTTTGCAAACAAAACTCACTAAATCTGACTTTATTTTCACATAAGCTTCCTAATTGGTCATACCCCAACTTAATAACCAAGAACCACCTTTTTTTTCCTTTTAAACAGAGAAACACTGAGACTGTTATTTCAAACCTAGGAAACTCATGCTCATGGTAATGTGATGACTGATCCTGGACTATCCTTCTAAAAATTAAAACTCCTTTCACAGTATCTGGAGCCCCAATCTTTGATCTTCAATGAGCCACTTTTTTTCTTTGGGTCTCAGTTTTCTATTCTTCACAATGAGAGCACTGCACTAGATCAATGCTTTCCAAAGCAATTTGGTCACAAAGCACTTTTGTGCTTGAAATATAGCAATGGGAAGCAAGCACACATCCACAGTCAAATCCATGGGCCATCCAAGAAGCTGGTACATTATTATTTTAACTCTGGCTCCCTCTGAGAACAGGTACGATGAGGTTGGGGTTGTAGTATTTTACAATTTAGTACTTCACGTTCTAAGAGGCAGCTAGGTAACTCAGGGGATAGAGCACTGGGCCTGGAGTTAGGAAGACCCAAGGTCAAATTTGGCCTCAGACATTTACTACTGTGTGACCCTGGGCAAGTCACTTAAACCTCTGGCTGCCTTAAACCACAAGAGAAGGAAATGGCCGATGTCTTGGCCAAGATAACACGGACACATCAGCACGCTATGGTCCAATAACAACAACCTCACATTTCAGGGGACCGAGCTGTGTGGGTACACGCATATATACTATAACAGGGTTGGATTTTTTTTCATGGCTGGGCAAGGGCAGGTGGAGATTAACAGTACAGCTTGTCTAAAAACAACAGACCCAGTAGGACTGGGCGAAAAAGTTAGAGCAGAGGGTAACAATAAGAGGGAGACTAAAAGCCTAGGACAAAACACTCCAAGTCAGAGGGCCCTGCCAGCTAAGCTGGAAGAAGAGGCAAACCCTTCCAAATGGCTTGCTAGTGGTTCATTCAACTCCCTATATTCATGTTACAGAGGACAGCAAGGTTCTGTGGGAAAGAGTTTGAGAAATATTTGCCAAAACTTTTGTCATTCTAATCAAAGTACCATGGCATAGTAGAAAGAATACTGGAGTCACAAGACCTGGGTTCAAATCCAAGCTCTGCTATTTACTCCCTAAGAGGCTCTGGGGAAGTCACTTAACTTCAGATTCCTAGGCTATAAACTGCCAGGGTTAGACTGGATAAGCTCCAACACACTTTCAGCTCAAAATCCTATGACACTAAACTTCAGACAGTATATCAGTAATAATTAGCAATGTCTACTTTAACAATCACCGTACTGTATACCCATTTAGTTACCAAGGCAAACACTTCACGATGCCCACAGTAGAACCTTGTCTACTAGATACATACTATATATGCTATACTAAACTGCTACTGTTCTTCCACCAACACTGGAACAGCCTTCACAAGTTTACAAAACTAAGTAATCACTGATCTGCAAGGACTTTAGGCCTGAGTGTCAATGTGCATGATTTAAAAAGCCAACATGGCCTCTGAACACTTGATTTTAGCTCTTTAGATAATTTTTCAACCACTGCTGAGTCCTGTTATCATCCCGATGCTGGTTTCCTAAACCTGTTTAAACAAGTGTTTCTGACCTTGGAAAGAGACCAGAAAAATGACATTGTGCAAATCAGTGAGTGAAGCACTCCGATGTACCTTACTCCTGCTTCAAAAAAAAAAAACAGCTGACAAAGCTGTAAGTCAAGTCTATGCAAATAAACATCAAAAACAGAAGAGTGAAGTTCCTCAAGTTCCATTCCAATAATTTAATTGGCTTCTTGCAAGCAACCAGACCTACCCTCTGTAACTATCTTAATGAAAATATAAAAAGCAAGCCCTCTGGGCTTGAACTTCTTAAAAAGCTAAGACCTCCAACCAGGTTATACTGCCAAACCACAGATACATCAGTACGTACTCAGTGATTCATTAGCTTCAGTGTAAATCCAACTCCCCAACCACCAGCATGAGAACTAAATTTGAAGTCAGAAAAACTGGATCCAATCAACCCCAGGCTCCTTGCTTATATGTATTATGTCAAGCAAATTATTCCCCCTCCCTGTGCCTTAGTTTCCCAAATTATGAAATGAAAGGGTTAGGCTCCCTTCCAATTCTAAATCTCACAACCTCATGATTCAACTATTTATCTATGCCTAATAGACAAGTAAAGTGGCACAATTACAACATCTTTCTTTCTCCTAAAAGAAAAATTAAATTCAAATAAACATTTTCTAAAATTAGACATGCTGGCTAGACTGCAGAAACAAACACAAACATCTGAGTACATCAACTAAGATGCTAGAAACTAGCTTTAGGAGATGCTAACTCAAAGCCTACCTTCTACAGAATGTAACAGTTTCCTTACCATAACAACCAAATCAGGAAGGGCAAGCACTCAGCGGAATATTGAGGAACAGCACCTGAAGGCTAATTTCAGGTATTTTGACCTCCAACTACCACCCCCATTTCCCAACTCAACTCTTACAAAACATTAAGAGCAGCAGCAGCTAGGTGGCGCAGTGGATAGAGCTCTAGCCTTGGAGTCAGGAGGACCTGAATTCAAATCCAGCCTCAGACACTCGACACTTACTAGCTGTGAGACCTGGGCAAGTCACTTTACCTCAATTGCTTCACCAAAAAAAAAAACCCAAAAAACATTAAGAGCACTTGCTTACTTGTAATCAGAGAATTCATGATGACGTGTGTAGCTTTGGCCTTCACCACTGGGGCCTTGTTCATTTGGTCACTGGAAGCTGAGGGATTAATGGAGAAACTATTTTCTCCTTCCTCAACCTGTGCAGGAAGGGTGAGGAAACACTTTTGAAATGGACAGGGAAGAAAATTAAGTCACAAATTCTGTTCTCAAGGTTTACTAAAATGCACCCATTCTACTTCACAAGTACAAACACAAAAACAGAACCAGAAGGCGGTTTTAAACAAATGTATTACTATTTGTGTTCTGTTAAGATGTATATTTTTGAAAATGTAATTTTAAATTTTTATTTGTAAATTTACTATTTGGAATATTAGCACTTTAGAGATTTAAGTCAATTGTAAATATACACATACACATTCTGACTATGTTAAGTCCTATATCTTGAGAATAATTTCTAAAATTTTTGGAAATTAATTACAAGGAGGGTGAGAGAAGATATTGAGGAAATTATATCAATGGACAGTTTGCATTGTGGGCAGGTGGTAAGAAACAGCAAAAGATCAGCTAACTTGCCTACATCCAATGATTTAAAGAATTTTGAGAGAGGCCCACTGATTAGAAGAAACATAATTAGAAGCACATTACAGGCTTGGGTAACCCATAAAACCATATACCCAAACCATTAAGAACACTAATTCAGGTGAAGGACTTGATTAAAAAACTAATAGTAGAATGGGAATCAGAAAATTAGTTCCATGTCTGTCTCTCTATTAGGCAAAACCACCTAAGCCCATCTATAGAACAAGGAAGTTATACAAGGTGATATCTAAAATTCCTTCCAGCTCTTAAGTCCTATGGTCTTCTCATCCTTAAATGATAAACTTAAATGCAGACTGATGTCCACATTCTAAGTACCTGTCTCAATGCTCAAATCTTTGGGAAGAGTAGTAGGAAGAGAATAGTGGGCTGATTCTCTCCCTCTTTACAAACCTACAGAAGACAAAGATAAGGGGAGGAAAGGCAGAAAAGGGGGTAGCAGGTACTCCAAAGCAGTTCTTCTCAAAGGACTGAAGTTCAAGATGTCACCGCCAAACTGGGGGACTGCACACTGCATCTTCTTCTCCCTCCCCTCATATGCTCCATCAAGCCTTAACCTTGTCTTCAAAAGGCTTGATTTCTACTCAAGAAACAAAGAGGTAAGCTATCCTGACATATTTTTCTGCTCTGCTTTTTCTAAGTCTGGAAAAGCTTCCAGGGACCATGAAGGCAGCTAACATTCAGTAAACAGAAAGGGTTTCTGGTACTTTTAATGTCTTTGGCACAAAATTTGTTTAATCCAAAATAGCTCCCGTGTGGTCAGGTCAGATTCCAGTAGACACCTCCTTAGTCTAATTATTCACCATTGAAACGTAAATGAAACACTTGCCCAGGTTGAAAGCCACCTTTCTGGATTTAGCAAGAAAGCCTTATACAAAGCAAAGAAGAAATAGAAAGGAAAAAGCTAACCTGGAAGAGATGATAAAACCCCAGCTTCACCAAATGACTTTAGGAAAATGAGTCTTGCCCACACTCTTCAGCACCTCCCCATGGCTTACCAAGCAAAGTCCAAACTCCTCTGCCTAGCATTCAAGGTCATCCACAACTGGAACCACCTCACCTTTCTCAACCTTCTGAAATTACTCTTACCTCTTTGCAATAAGCTCCTACTACTTTCTAGTCCCTGAACATTACCTGTCCTCTATTCTTTATGCCTTTGCTCAAGCTTTGTCCTAAGCCTACAATGAGTGACTTTAATCCTTTTAACTTAAGTTCCCAGCCATTTTTACTTAAAGTTCACCATAAAGTCACTTCTTCCAGGAAGGCTTCCCTGATTTCCCATGTTTGAGACCAATCCCCACCCTCAGACCAAAGAGAATTTTGTTTTACACCTCTCTAACATACTCATGATGTGACACTGTATATTACAATGATGTGTATGAGTCATAGCCACCACACAGACTAGTAGCCCTAAAGGAGGGCTTCTTAACTAAACTCTGTATCTCCTATGCCTGGCAATGTTGTCCACACAGTAAGTGCTTAATGTTTGTCCTAAATGTTATGTCACTTCCCAATTGTCCTAGCCCTCAAATTTCTCCCATTCTTAAAAGGGTAGAGAGGTACTAAGATCTACACAAAACAACAGCTATTAAATACCTTGGAAAGCTGTTGGTACTTCCGATCTGGGATGACCGGCTTTTTCCACAGAACCTTACTGCACATGTCAGATGAAGGTGGAGTCATCGGTGTGGGATCCTCCAGGACATCATCATAACTGAATGCCCGACGATGCATTCCAATTGGCAAAGACATCTTGCCTAGAAGCCCACTTGTACTGTGCTCAATAGCTAAGAACAAAGACGTTCATAATGAGGAACACACATGGTAATACATCAGCTAGTGTACAGTCATATTCCATCTTGAAGAAGTTTAATATACTGATTATCCCTACCATCAAAGTAGAGGAAAGAAAAAACGGAAGATCAAAATGTTGCCATATCAAAGCAGCAGCACCAGAGTGTAAAGACCAGGGAGATGTAGAGGATTTACAGGAGCTGTGATACTACTTGAATATCCTAACACAAGTTACTTTTCCCTCTGTGGGCCCTTGGTTCCTCATCCATAAAATGAGAATTGGACTAGATGATCTTTAAGGTCTCTTTCAACCCTAAATCCTATGACCTTATATAACACATTGTCCACAAGAAAAACTTCTCAAAAGTCATTCTGTGGCAGGTGACATAAAATATTCTCATCAAAGATCACTGTACCCAAATGCAGGTGATTTCTCAAGCCACATTAGGAATTACTAAAAATTGACATTGGCTTTTGGTGAATATCTCCAATAAGTATTCAGCATCATCTGTATCAGAACCTTCTTCAAATATAACAGTGCACTGCCTAGTTTTAAGTATTCAGAATACATTTCAATACCATTCAAAGTTCACTTCCTTTGACAAAAGCTGTCACATTTCAGACTGATCCAACATAAACTGGTGGAATCTTTTCCTAGATTTGAACTTTGCAAGGCTGAGATTCAAGGCAACAATACTGTTACCTAATTCCAAAGTTGTTCCCAGCTGACAGCTTCCTCTTTCATGCTTGGGTAGGGTTTCAAATAAGTTTTCTAACCAGGGATACAAGGTTCATTTAATTAACTTGCTCTTTAAATTAAAACTGTTTGCTTTGACTCTAGATTAAAAGATGAATTTGCTTAACGCCTGGTTAACTTTGATCGTATACTGAACAAGACACACCTAGATACCCAACAGTAAGTATCTGGAAAGTGAACAGATTTCTAAGCATAGGATACCACTAGATTTTGTTTTTGTTTGTCAGCTAGCCAAACAGTTAACAATAATGCACTAAAAAATAATTTGATAAAACATTTGCTTTTCAGTCTACAGAACATAACTGTAGCAGTTATCAATCAGTAATCATAAGGGCTAGAAGAGAAATGCCTCAGTTTCTCTATGTCTAGGAGTAAGGGGGTAGGCCAAATGATCTTTAATATTCCTTCAGTTCTGACAAGCTTCAATTCTATGAAAACAGTATAAATTAGGATATACACAGAGGAAGTGGTCAATGAGGCAATTATGGGAATCAGTGACAAGACTGAAAAGCATGAAACCAGTCCAAGTTGACATCATCTAGAATTTTGAGCTGATTCCATACTAGGGAAATAATGCTCATGTAAAACAAAAGATTTGGACTAGATGGCCTCTAAGGTCCCTTCCAGCACTATGATATTATGATTGCTTTATTAGTTAAGCTTGGGAGCAAACTGTAAAAGACACTGCTCTATAACCCAAATGTTTATTTAACAGCCTTTGATACTACTTGACAATGCTGTCTTACTTGTTGTTCAGTCTTTTCAGTCGTGTATGAGTGTGTGAGTTTTTGTGATCTCATTCAGGGTTTTGTTGGCAAAGGTATTAGAATGGTTTGCCATTTCTTTCTCCAACTCATTTTACAGATAAAGAAACTGAGGCAAACGGTGAAGTGACTTGCCCAGAGTCACACAGTTAGTGAATGTCTGAGGCCAGATTTGAACTTAGGAAGATGAGTCTTCCTGACTTCAGGCCCAGCAAGTACTATTTACTGCACCACCTAGCAGCCCCATGCTATCTTATACTGAAGAATGATTAAAGTTAGCAGTAAAAGCACAACAATTAATTAGGTATTGTCCATATATATAGTACTGAATTCCCTTTAATATCTCTAGTGGCTCCCTATAACCTCCAAGATCAAATATAAAATTCTCTGTTTGGCATTCAAATATAGGCTCCCACCTATATTTCCAGTCTTCTTAAACCTTAGACCCCCAAAATACACACACACACACACACACACACACACACACACACACACACACACACTCTCTCTCTCTCTCTCTCTCTCTCTCTCTCTCTCTCTCTCTCTCTCTCTCTCTCATCCAGTGACATTGGAGTACTTGCTGTTCCTCTCACAAGACACTCCATTTCCCAAATGCATTTTCACTGATTGTCCTCCATGTCTGAAATTCTCTTCTTCTTCATCTCCACCTCCTGGCTTCCTTAAAGTCCTATCTAAATTCCTACTTTCTACAAGAATGCTTTCCCAATTCCCTCAAAGTTGTACCTCTCTTGTTTATTACTGACAATTTATTCTGCACATATCTGTGAGATTCTGGAGAGCAGGGACCGTTTTTTACCTTTCTTTGTATCCCCACTACTTAGCATAATACCTAGCATATAGCAGGCACTTAATTACATTTGCTGACTTGATAACAAAGGGAAATATGTTGACACTAGGGACCAAGAATTTAATTACTGGTCTAGTATAGATCCAGAAATTATAACAATGAAAAATCTAATCATCAACTAAAGTAGCTAATTCATAACCAATCAGAGCAGCATGAGTTTTTTCCCCCTGCCATCTTTAGGCCAAAAAAATGCATTTGTGAATTTGATCATCAATGACTATGTTTAATAATACTTATTTTAGAATAAACAAATACTATACTTCTAAATGAATCTTTATGGAACAAGTTTTGACAGCCACAAATCCTTAATTAGTTGACAAAAAATTCTCTTTCCCCCTCTCCCCATGTCAGATAAAACCTACAAGATCTCCCTACTAACCAATGCAAGGGCTTTAACTTAAAAGTTCACCTCACCGATCTTCCTGACTATGGATAGGAGTACTTCACAGCCTCTGCTCAAATCCAGATTATCCCTAATGACAGGACCAGCTTGTTCCAGTGTTCCCCATGCCTCATTACCTGTCAGTTCTCCCTCAGATCTGACCTCAGTCCTCACCAATGCTCATTCTGTGGTCAGACTCTCATAGCACACTAGCAAAGTACAAGCTCTCAGAGCCTGGGTTTCTCCCTTTTCTAAAGGGTATTGGCTTTCCTTAGATTTTCCTATAGCACCTAGTATAAATAATAGGCAAATAATATAAATTAAGGAAAGAAGGCTTCCTGGTTAGGTGGAAAATAACAGCTGAAAGTCAAGAACCTAGGTTCTAGAAGACTTCTGCTAGTCACTAGCTATATATTCTTATGCAGGTAATGCCCTGCCTGGGCCTCAGTTTCCCTATTTAAAAAAGGGGGATTCTAAGGTCCCCTCCTGCTATAATATTCTATGAGTCTGTGAGAGAATATAAATCAGGACAATCACTTTTCCTATGCATAGACAACTTTTAAATACCAAGGTTAAATCTAAAAATGGTTTACAAATAGAACTTTAGCTTCAAATGAAGTGATTCCTTCCATAATAACTTAAACAACTGAACAGATAAAAGTATGACTTTACTAGAAAAAACTGAATTTACCAGGCACATCTGGCTCTCTGGATGATGCCATGAAAGACTGTGATCCAGGTGTTTCTCTAGATAGATATCCAGAACTCTTATTCCCTGTCATCAAATAAAAATAAAGTGCATTTTCATATGCTGAAAGTTGGGAAAGCAAAAAATACTACAAAAATTACCATTGATACTTCTACAAATATAGTGAAGTTTGAGAAAAGCACAATGTAAAAACACCATTTATAGATAATTCCCTGAAAAAATGGTAAGACATCTACTAGAAATACTTGAAAGTCAAAGCCCTCTACTAAAGCCCTTCTTTGATGACTGATCATGGTAATAGTGCGACTCTTCAGTTAAGTAACACAAGCTATGGCAGACTGGTTTAGAGCTAATCAAAGCAATGTACTCATTCTGAAAGATCACCTCTCCCGAGGCCCACACCCTAAGACCTCTGGATTCTTAACCTTTTTTGTATCAACAGATCCCTCTGGCAATCTGGTTAAGCCTATGAATCTTTTCTCAGAATGTTTTAATTGGATAAGATACACAAAATCACAAAGAAAGCCAACTGCACGGGGATGCAATTATGGAAAGATTTAAAGTTTCAAATCCATGGACCTTATGAAATCTATCCATTAAGATATAGGTAACTCTACACTATTCCAGGCAGTACTGGTCCAGTGACTGACATCTGCTGCCCTGCCCAGATTAAGTTCAGAGAATTTTATCACCCATCCAGTTGGCTGTAAAGGCAATAAATTTTTTTGCCAAGGTTAACTCTTGGAGACCATCTCCCAGAGGAAACTATGGACCCTCGAACCCAGTCTAAGGCCTAACCTTATTGATTCCCCTTCACATTAAATTAGAATGATGTAAATAGTTAAAGAGAACATCTGCTTACCACGATGAAAGTTAGGCAGATAGGACAAAGATGTCAAAAGGAAACATTCTGCAGCTAGTGATGAACTAGCAAAGAGTCCCAAGCAGCTCTCATGCAGAGGTTCTACAGACTAGAATTAAGAAGCAAAGCAAAAGTCCTTTACCAAGTTCACTCACAAAAAAAAAGCCCCATTCTGACATCACACCCAAAAAACACATTCAATGACAACACTAGAGTTTCTGTTTACCTACGGTTACAAGAGTCTCTGAAAAGTGCTCTAACAGTTCCACCACAGAATCACTAAAACAGATGCTAAAAGAGAATTCACTGAATCTCAAAATAACCCAACTTTGGACTTAGCTATGGTTCAAGAACCACAATAAGGCCACATTACCTCCAAGGCCATTCCAACCATATAAGCCACCTGTAATTAAAACTGCCCTAGTGTGGATGTACCACAGGGATTGGTTCTAGACAGTAAGTCCCCGAGATATCATTAAAAGAAAGGCCTGGGCCTGCTCTGTGATATTAGAAGGAGGGCTCAGGGCTTCCACACTAAACAGCTTTCAATTCCACTCCTTTTTCCAAGCTTCTAGGCCCTTCCCATCTCTAAGCACAGACTACCCCACCCACTCAACCGCGGGAAGTAGGGTAAACTAGGCAAGATGAACAAGAGCACCTGTTTTTCTCCCATCCCACATCCCCTGTCGAGCCTTTCCACAATACCTACAAGCTTTCGGGCCTGGGCCTATGCCCATCCAGACCCCCTACTACCCCCCTCACGACATCCACTCTATACCCTCTACACATCCCTCTATTCATAACACCTCCCCTTCACAAAACCTCCATTCCCCATTTATACACTTCCCTTTACTAACCTTAAGCATATGGAACCCAGAACCCCAAGGCCACGGGCCACTCTAAAACCACAAATACTCTAGTGCCTCCCCCCCATCCACACACCGTGACGCCCCTCAAAACCTTCTCGTCCCATCCCCACCTCCCTATAGGAAGCCGCGCAGGCATCCATAGCTGCCCCCCCCTTTCCCCAAGGCCCCCAGAATCACACCCCCAGCCCCGCACCACACACACAAATTTCACACCCACACCTCCCCAGCCAGCTCTTCTCCCCCTCCTTGCCCAGCCCCCGGCCTGCCCTGGATCTCTTACCAGCTGGGTTTCTGTGAGGAGGGGGGTGGGATGGAGGAAAGGGGGGTGGGAAGAGACCGTCCGCAGCCCGAGGCTCCGCCACGGACAGCAATCTGAGCCTAACAAGGCTCCAGGCCCCCGTCGCTCCCTAAGCGCCGAAGCACGGGGCGAACCGAGGCCATGACGCAAGCAGCGCCAAGACCCAAACGGACCTCAGCTAGGAGAAGTACAGTCAAGGCGTGCGGGGGTCTAAAATCCGGCCTTATAAAAGCCGGGAAGATCGCGAGACTTAGAGCGCGAGGCGAAGTTGCCAGCTCTCCGAAGGGAAGGGAAGAAGAGGGAAGGGAAGAGACGGAGGAAACGTATGAAACGCCTCTCCGCGGCCCTCTGGGAAATGTAGTTCCCAATGAAATAAACCCCGCCCTAGTCTTGCTGTTTGACGTTTCCTGAGGGTCTTTAGTGCACCTGGCGGCTGTAAAAAATCATGACTTCAATCTGCCTTGACGTCTGGCCCCAATCTCCTTATTCCCTCAAATTTTATCCTTAATTTTCATTTATTCATTCATTCAATAAACATTTATGAAGCGCTATGTGGCAAGTACTCCGGATCCAAAAAGAGGCAAAAGACAGTTTCCATCCACATTTTCCATCTCAACAATTCCATTCCATTCCATTCAACTATCACTTCTTAAACACTCAACCCACTATGTGGAGAAGATATAACAGGTACACAGATGAGTAAATACAAGACAATTAACGGAGGGTGAAAGCACTGACAACCAGGAGGATGGATTAGGAGAATAAACGTGAACCTTGAAGGAAGCTAGACTGAGGATATTACCCCCAAACAAGGTTATGGTAGCTGTCATTTATGTACTCTTCCTGCTTCCTCAATAAGTTCAATGCCTGGCTCGCAGGCTTTCTCTATGCTCTAATTCCTGCTCTCATTCTAGGAAATTTCAACATACATACTGATACTCCCTTAAACATACCATCTTCCCAGCTATTCAATTTACTGAAATCAAATGACCTACTCCTCCACTCCATTACTGCTACACACCCTTGATCTTGCCATCCACCACAAGTGTTCTACTTGTTCATATTCAAGAACTCTGAAATTCCTTCATCTGAACATATTTTTTTCTCATTCCATCTTTCCCTGTGCCTCATGACCCTAACACTCCTGTTCATCACCTACACCATGACTTCCATTGGCTCTACCTTTCCAGTTGTTGCCCAAAGCATCACATCTGTGTTTCCTTCCCTATCTTGACCCCTTAGTAAATCAATTCAATTCTACAATATCTTCTACATTCAAACCTCTTGCTTCCTCTTCCAAATCCCAATCTTGGATTACTTCCACCATCTGCTGCTGTTCCTCCTACTCCTGTGTTGCTGAATGGAGGAGAAAAATCAAAAACTATGATGACTGGGATTGATGGGATGCTTGGGTGCTTGTGCTTGGAGCCCAATTTCTCCCTAGCCTCAGAAACACTGTCTCCGACAATTTCTCCCCAGCCCAAGGACACTGTGCCTAGCAATTACTCATGAGTGTGCCCCAGCAAGACCCTTCTCTCTTTCCCTGGTACAGTTACAAACAGTGCCTGAAGGAATTATTAGTTTTAACTGGCTTTGCACTGGGCCATAAAGAATTCTTGCCCACTGTACTATCTATACTACCACCCTACCTCATGATCTACATCCTGGACTCCTCATTATCTGTATTCAAGATTTAAGACATGTGTATACTCCCTACATCTATCTTGTCAAACAAGACATTGACTGGTGGCAGACTGGACAACTCTCAGTTACTCCTGAACTCTAGTTAACTTAGTGACTTAGCAGCCCTAAATCCACACCTCCATGCGGCCCCCCTTGTGGGCTTTTCCTAGTAAAAGCTGGGTAAAACGCCTGCACCTGCGCAATAGGTACAAGAAGTGCTTGTTCCTTTTAACAACTGACCACTCCTTAACCACTCCCTAATCCCTGAATCACCTAGTTAGCATATTTGGCTCATGTTTTATTGTATTTTATCCTATATAAACTTTAACTGTATCCCTCTAAGGTTGCAGGTTCCTTAAGAATCCTTGCCCGCTGAAAAGTGTAACAATAAACTTTTTGCCAACCTGACTTAAAGTATGCTTGAGTCTATGAATTTATTCCAGACGACCCTGTCATGTACTTTAGTCTTTGAGGGGTCACAACCTCTCAGACCGCAACAGGATTATTGTACTGTTAGAAGACAAGCGTGATTGGCATCAACTGCCTCTAGAAATCCTGGCTGGAAAATAAAACCGACACATTCAGGACCTGCCCTCCTCCCCCACCCACCACCACCCCACCTTGACCTCTCGCTTGAAGACCAAGTTACCCCTAATTTTGAAAAGAAGAAGCAAGGACAGGGAAGTCATTCCCTATGGAAGGTCTAGCCCAAGCCCTACTCAAGCTATTGCCTCAGGGATGAGATTATTCAATCATATTCTTTAGGAACTTCCAAGACTGAGAAGTGGGAGCCTGACAAAATGGGGGAAAGGATAGATTTCAGAGTAATATAATACAGCATAATATTAATTTCTTCACAAGACAATCTTTTTATACTTCCCTAATCTATTCACTGTTCCACTTGTCATAATGGCTATTTCAAATATTTTCACCTATCTTCAAGCTTTCTATGGCACTGCCTTCCTTCAGCTCCCAACTAAGGACCTTTCTTAATACTTCACAGAAAAAAAAAATTAAGCCATTCCTAGAAAACTACCTCTTCTCTCTTATCTCACATAGATCAGATGTCTTCTCCCACTATATGTTCACACGAAGAAGTGGCCCTTCTTGCCAAACACTTCTACATGTACACTTGATCCTATTGGGACCCACCTTCTGCAGCAGATTGCCCCCTCTATCATCCCTACTCTCTAATTTTCAATCTCTCTCTCCCTACTAGCTATGTGTCTGCTGCTTTCAAACACTCATGTTTCCTCCATCATTTAAAAAAAAAATGATCCTACTGATCAGGTGATGGGACTTGGACCAAAGGAGGATGGGCCTGGGGAAATCTCTGGCATTTACCTGAGGCTATAATCCCATCAACTGGCCTTTCATTGTGGCTACACCCAATCTCTCAATTCTGTTACCCTTAACCTAGCCTAGTCCTCCATTGCTTTACCTCCCCAGGTCCCTAGGCCACTTCCCACCCTTAATCCTATCTAGGCTCCCTTCTCCCTTGGCCACCCCTGGAGTTCTATTACTTCATAGACTACTTGGCCACTCCTAGATCCCTCCCATAGTCTTTCCTTTAAGATGTTCAAATTCCTAAAATCTAGCCACTGCTCAGATTCTTAGAATCTAGTCAATACTTACAGACTCCTAGATTCCTCAAGAGTCTGGCAATATGGCAGCTCTTTAATAAACCTTGCTTTTGGCTGAAAGAAGGCTTGGGTCGAATTCTTTCAGGCAGAACTCAAGTGTCGGGATCTTGGGGTTCCAGCACCCCTAACCTCTAGACCTCATCAGACCCCTAAAAGGAAAAGACCATGTCTTTGAAAGCAACCCAGTCCCTGAATTTTCCAATACATTTCAGCAGCCCAGATCACTGGCACCTTCCCACAAGGCACTTGGCCCACCCAGCCCATCAAGATCACCTAATTAACCTGCTTCATATTCCTTTCAGCATTGCACCTGGCCCACTCCAGACTACTTACCATTCCTTAATTCCTTTCTCCCCTGTGACATTGACACCACCCTAGTGAAGGCCCTCACCACCTCACACCAGGTGTTGACAGGATTTTACTGAGCCAGTCTCTAACCTGGACATTCTCTGAGCCAAACAAAGCAGGCCTAGAGACAGGAGTACCAGTAATTAAGTGGCTGTTTAATTAATCAGTTTCAGAGTGAGGAATGCCCTCTTAGCTGGAGTAAAACAACAACATATACATAAATCATACATGGAAAAGAACAAGGGGGGAGGTAGATTACAAACAATCATTTTTCAGGGCTTGAGTGATTTCCCATGACAAGCCTACAATACAGGAGGACAATACAACAATTATTTAATTATTTCAAATTTGGGGGGATCATGACCACTCCCTACCCAGGGCACAGAACCAGAGCTCTGTATGTGAAAGGACTGTCCAGGGTTTGATTGATCATTTCAAGTAGCATTGTAAGTCTGACTCCAGAGCCAGAAAGGCAGCTCTTGAGAAATCTAAATGATTAGTATATTCATTACACATATCATATCGATTAATATGAAAATCCTAATTCCCTTCACACAGGATAATTGAAAAGGTCTGCTGGTTGGTCTCCACGTTTTAAGTCACTCACCTCTCCCATCTATCCTTCATTTAGCTGTCAAAGTTATCTTTCTAAAGCCAAAGTCTAACTGTCCCCACACCTCCTCTCCAATTCAATAAACTCCAGTGGCTTGCTATTACCTCCAAGAAGAAATATGAAATCTTCTGTGTGGCATTCAATGCCCTTCAAAATCTGCACACACACTCCCCACACCCCATCTTCTAAAATCTTACATTCTCCCACATCATATGTTCGCCATTGCCAGTTATCTTGATTTGTGTCTTGCCACTGGACTCTGATGACTCTGGAGGAAAGAGTGACTTTGCACAGCTTTGCCTCCCTTAAATCCAATTCACTTGCAAGTCAAGACATCACCTCCTGATGTCATTGATTGAACAACAATTCCCAATGATGCTGGCCTTCTTGCTCTTCCTCAAATAAGACTCTCCATCTCCCAAATCCAGGCATTTTCACTACCTATCCTCTGTGCCTGGAATGATCCCCCTCCTCATCTCTGTCTCCTGGATTCCCTGGCTTCCTTCAAGCCTCAGCTAACATCCATCATACCATTTACAAGAAGCCTTCTGTGTTCTCCCTGAACTGTAGTGCCTTTTCTTTGCTAACTTCAGATTTATCCTGTATAAGCTTCTTTGTACATAGTTGTTTCCACCATTGGACTGTGAGCTTCTTGAGAGAAGGAAATGTCTTTTTACCTTTCTTTGTATCCCTAGTGCTTAAAGGCACTATGCCTAGCACATAATAGGTGCTTAATATATACTTATTGACTAACTACTAATTACCCTATTTCCCCAGATTCTCTCTCCTCTCTAGGTTTTTATGACAATGCTCTTTTGTAGTTCTCCTTCCAATCTGGCCCTTCCTTCTCAGTTTCTTTTATGGCATTATTGGATTATTGAAGTA